AAGAGTTAATTGGGACTATCTACAGCAGGAATCTTACTGCCATATAAAGTACCCCAACCTTATGGCTTTTGAACAGATTTTAATTGCATTTTTGGATGCGTTTCTTTGAAGAGACATCATCAGATCTGTTTGAAAAAATGAGCCTGCTTATCAGGAAAATCCACAACTTTTCATAAGGAAAATAAAAATAACACTTTTGTATGTGGCATGCTTCCATTTTATTTTAATRAAAACATTTGGGTGAATAATCAGAGTTCTAAGTCTGAAGCCTAATCCCACACACCTAACTTGAACTACACACACACAGACACACACATACAAATACTAGAGCAGAAACCTTTTGTTAATTCAGGCTGGTGAACTAGGTTCACTGTTCAKGTACTCACTACCTCTTTGGTAAATTCAGTGATAGTTGTTATGCATTGAGCCAAATTGTAATGTTTCCATGGAAAACTGTTTTTACAATAACATTTTTATTTCAATCTGAAAGACAAATTAGGAAATAAGACCTGTCTTAAGAATGAACTAATGGCCATGGTTCTTTACAAAACAAGCCCCCAAAAGCTCCCTCTGTTTTCAAACACTGTTCCTAGATCTGACATGTGTTTTGGCCAATAGGTAACTGAGACATCAGAGTGTTCTACCTACTGTTCATGAAGAAAAACTCACATGCTGTCAGTAAATCTGGTTTAACAGTTAGGCTTGGCGGTTTTGGACTGACTCTAGAATGTTTTTCTTGTTCTGTTTTCTGAGTTTTTTGGTGTTTGCTTTTGGGGGTTTTTGGGGGGATGTGGGATTTTTGTTGCTTTTTATTGTTGTTGGTTGGTTGGTTGGTTGGTTTTAGGTTTTTCCCAAATGAAACTTGAAAGCAGGACTAAAACAAGGAGGGGATGAGTTTAAACACAGCCTTTACGTTTAGTGTCTAATGACAAAACTATCTTTGTTAGGTAAGTCTTGTTTCTTAAAAGAGACAAGCACTTTACTGAAGAAAAAGGCTTTTATTAACTGTCAGTGTGTCTGGTAATACAAGTAATGCATGATTATCAGCAGCTTTTTTGGTTTGCAAAAGCAGTTGTATTAAGTGTTATAATAGGCTGGATGCTAAGTACATGTGGGAAAGATACTTGTGTCATGTGAAAATCAGTAGGACTCCTATGTTTGAAATCCATTCACTTCTGAAAAAGAAATTCATTTTCWATTATCTTTGCTGACTTCAGAAAGGTTATCTTCTGAAATCTCAAAGGAATCTCAGAAGATTAGTATACCTCCTGTTCTATTTCCATTTGGCACAGTATGAATTTTTTCTTAAAACAAAAGCTTTCTAAGTCAGCAACTTGAGAGCAAAGTAATGAGGAAGGAGCTAACTTCCTATTTAATGCTATAAATCAGTACTTTCAGTTTGGAGGTATAGTCACAGTCTATATAGCACAAATAAACTGTGAAAAAGTATTGTTATTTATTTATCTGACTTTAGCAGTAGTTTCAGGAGTTTTATCCAGCGGGCAGTTAGAATAACAGAGAGGCTGACAGAGGCACTTTGATCCTGGGACAATGATYTTTGATACCACTTGCAGCTGCTTTTTATTCCTCAGTAAGGGAGGTAAGAAAGAAAGAGGGCAGAGATACAATGACAGTGTTTCTGGGACAGGACATTTTCTGGGACAAGAGAATGAACAGGAATATCTTGTGATGCTCGTGAACAAATATGAAGGATTAGGAAACTTCAGCTGCCAAACTTACACAGCTCTTTTGGAATGCAAACTGAAAGTAGTTGTGTTTGAAATCCTGTTGAATGAAAATCACTATGCATTTTGCAAATTATGTTGTCAACGTTTAAAATCAGATCTAATATTGCAAACCTTAACTCACAATATTTCACATGAGTGGAAGAGCAGGACTACCTAGTCCTGCTTCAGTTTAATAATCTGGTCTGTCAGTTTTGTCATTGCTTAGTGCTATGGTAGCTGGGCAGGGTTGCTGGTATTTGGACTGGTCATTTGGGCTACAAACGGCTTCAACATGCTTGAGTGTTGGCAGACCCTTTCTCACAGAGCCTCTTGAACGCTGTCACATTTACCAGTTAATGTCTTTCTGCTTCTTTTAACCCAGGACTTGGCATAACAGGCCTTTTGACATGTCAATTATCAATCTGTATTAATTAGCCAAAAAAAAGGAACTATTCTGTAACTAGAATCATCAGACACAAARAAGGAAAATTACCTTTTTGCCTTTAGTTTCTGGTAGCTTATCTGTCAMCATCAGCTGTCCCAGAGAATAGCTACCGTGAATATGAATATTGTAAAAAATAGAGAACAAAACTGTTCAACTAGAAACTGCATAAATTACCTTTTTTATGACAGCATGAAAAKCTTCCTCAGTAGTTTGGTCTTTTGTTTGTCAGTTGGAAGCTGGTAAGCTGTTTGATATTCTCAGTTGTGCCTTGCAGGAGTTCCCATGGTGTGTCCCTACTCTAAGGCTTCTCCTCTGGCCATCAGCTCTGCTGTGTGGAGGCACTGAGGCTGCTCCCCAGCTCAGCAGGGGCAGTTTGTCTGCTGGGCAGAGGCTGATGTCAGCCACACGAACTGATGGGACTTCTTTCCTCTTCCTGGGCCTTCTAGGCATCTGCAAAAGACAAACAGAACTCYGACACAGAACATTTGGCAGGTTTATCATCACTCTGAGACTCTGAYGTGTTATATATTTAGGAGTCAAAAGCATTCTATGAATATGCTYCTCATGGTCTTCTAGGTTTGTCTGCTAAGCTACACAGGTACATTTTCAGTCCTAAATATGTTGGTTATGCCCTCTTGCTTAAATAAAAGGACTGGTTATTTGTAGGGATTTGGTTAGGGGAAGAGTTGGGATTGGTTTTTTTTGCTTCTTCCATAAATTAGATCAGGAGTAGAAAACGGAAATCTTTCATGCAGACTGAACACTGGCTGAGTAAAAAACTATGAAGACACAGTATGGCATTAAATCCTTTAAAATACTGATATTAGGACTAACATTGCTTTTTAGCAATAGARTAGGGAAGTAAAAGCCAGAGAAAATGAGGCATTACTTCATTTAAAAAAAAAAAAAAAATAAGAAAAAGGCCAGTGTTATTAAATGTAGTCTAGAAACCAAATTTAATTTGTTATTTGTCAGATGTGCAAGGTTTTGGACTGGAAAGGAGTGGGTAATGACCTGTCTAGTTCTAGAAACAGTGTAGTGTGTTTACATGCAGGATTGTATGCCATGGTTGACTGCAGTAACRCAACTGGGCTCAGTGATCTGCAAAAACTTAGGCCGGGAGGTTTAACCAAAGGAAGAGCTGTTCTTTTGGTGTTTTGTTATTTCTTTTTTAATGTGTATGAATTCAGATGGTGTCTGATCCGTGCAGCAAGAAGAAAGCATCTATATGTTTTCCAGGCATTAAAGGATTATACATACTCGGTCTAGACCACTTCAAAGCAGAAGTTTGCCTCTGAATGGGCTGCAATCGTTGTGCAATCTTACAGACTATGTACTGAATCTAGAGTATTTCTCACACTGAACAAAGTACATCAAATTCTCAGGTACACATGAGATTAGCAGTTCACTATTTGAGTTAGCCAGTTACATGGCTGTTTGAGCTAACTGGCATGTTAATCCTGATGTTACGCTTACATAATCTCCTCCGAGTCTAATCAGCTGGGAATCCATGAGAGAGATGAGTGGAATGTCTGTGTCCAAGTGCTAATAACTACATCAGCCCCACTGACAGGACTGCACTGCCTTGGAGGGAAACAGAAGTCTTTTCAATACTTTCCTTTATACATTTTGCTGGCAGATTTTCACCTGTTTAAGACGGTGGTGATACATGTGCCTAAGTCCACTTGTAACCACATCCTCCCATTTTAATTAGGCAGCTGGACACCAGACACGCCTGGGTAAGGGAACAGTGCTCGGTGATGCTTACAATACCAACGCTATTCATGTTCTCTGGGCTAAAAACTTTGTGTTGAGGAAAAAGTTTGGTTTGGGAACAGAGTTACATCTTTTGCAAGTACCTTTTTCTGTTTGTCAGATAGCCCTTATCAAAGCCGCAGCTAACTGCTGCTGTAGCAACAAACGAAACATTGCTCTCCTCTTGGAGCGAGTGTCTCAAGGAGTGTTTTTAAGGGCAGGGACGGGCTGCGGTGTGAGGTGCGCGATAGCCCGCGGGCTGGTTCGGTTTTCGTTTCCGAGGACGCGGCGCTGCGCTGGGTGCGGGTTCAGCTGTGCCGGGTGCGGGTTCGGCCGCGCCGGGTGCGGGTTCAGCTGTGCCGGGTACGGGTTCAGCTGTGCCGGGTGCGGGTTCAGCTGCGTTGAGTGCGGGTTCAGCTGTGCCGGGTGCGGGTTCATCTGCGCCGGGTACGGGTTCAGCTGTGCCGGGTTCGGGTTCGGCTGTGCCGGGTACGGGTTCAGCTGTGCCGGGTGCGGGTTCGGCTGTGCCGGGTGCGGGTTCAGCTGTGCCGGGTGAGGGTTCAGCCGCTCTGGGTGCGGGTTCAGCCCCTCTGGGTGCGGGTTCAGCCGTGCCGGGTGAGGGTTCAGCCGCGCCGGGTGCGGGTTCGGCCGTGCCGGGTGCCGGTTCAGCCGGGCCGGGTGCGGGTTCGGCTGCTCTGGTTGCGGGTTCAGCTGTGCCGGGTTCGGGTTCAGCCCCTCTGGGTGCGGGTTCATCTGCGCCGGGTGCGGGTTCAGCCCCGCGCTCCGGGCGGGCCGGGAGCGGCTCCATCCCCGCCGGAACAGGAAGGCGGCCGGGGCGCCGCGGAGGGCCGGGGAGGAGCCGCCGCCCGCAGCATCCCCGGGGAGGCTCTTGGCAGGCCCGGAGCAGCGGTAGGTGCCCGGAACGGGGGAGGATGGGCGGCGGGAGCGGCGGGGCAGGGCCCGGCGGGAGGGATCCCGCGGCCCCCGCGCATCTCTGCAGGGCCGCCCCTTCCCTGTCCTGGGAGCTGTGCTTGTCCCTGTGCCCCGGCTGAGGGCCTGCCCTTGCCCAGAGCCAGCGCTGAGGGAGGGAGGCGGAGGAGCCCTCCGAGGTGGAGGTAAAGCCTGCCCCGGGACRTTTGAGAGGGGGAGAAGGTGAGGTAAGGAAACCCTAGAAATATGAAATCCTGGCTGCTGGCAGATGACAAATCTCAGTTCGAGCGTTAGGGCAGGGCCAAGTTTGATGCTGATCCCTTCCCGGGAGCGGACGGGGGTCGGGGACAGAAATGAAGAGACCCAGCCGGGGAATGCCGAGGGAAGGAAGGGCTGGGGAGAGCCGGGCAGAGCCGGCGAGTGTGAGCGACTCACGTGTGCGGAGAAACAACTTCCCTGARTGACAACCCCTCTCCCTTCCAAACGCGCCTCACGCAAGGCACATGTCGCGGTGGAGGTGAAGCGTTCTGTTTTTGCTGTCAGGTTGCCAAGGGCCTGTAAAATGTTGGGTGGTTTCCTGCCTAGCAAAAAATTATGGAGAGTTTTGAGCAACAAAACTGATGGAGCGCAGAGGCAGAAACGTGTAGCACCTTGGGATGTTGCGTAAGGGAAATTGCAACCACGCAGCCAAAACTGGAACAGAGTGAAAGGTCAGTGCGAGCATCGATGGGTTGAGGCTGCACTGGCAGAAATGTTCGTGAGGGAAAGGTGTGAAGGATGTTACCTTTGTAAATAACCCTGGAATAAAGTTCAGCTTGGTCRTACGATTCAGTGGATGAATAAACAAATTGTGAGGAAAGATGAGACAGAATSTGCCCCAATGAACCCATCACTCAGCTGTTGGCTGGGTAGATCTAGGGCCAGCACGTATTTGTTTAAAGGAATGGTTGTTTTGGCTCCAGTTGCTCTTCTATCATTTGGRTAAGCAAATAATGCTGAATATTTGTAGTAGTGATGACTTGCCATTTTAAATAAAAGGAACTTGAACRTAAATCTGCTAGTGATCAGACCAGTTTGGTTAAGAGCATTATGCCAAGAGTTTAATAAATGGATTGCAGGTGGCCCCTTTCCATGTTTGTTTGCCTCATGGCATTTGAGCTTTAATAATGCTTCAGTGCTAATAAACTGGCTTCACAAGTAAAGAAAGGTCACAACAATATTTATTGCTGAGCATGACAAAGTGTTATGAACTTCAATTAGTGTAATATGATTTTCTATGCACAAGTGCCTTACTTATGGAATATGGTATGTCTGAGCTGGAATGAAATTTATATTAAGAATTGCACACTGTTTTCAGTCCTGACTCATCAAAGTCAATGAATGTTTTTGTATTAATTGGCTTTGGATGAAATTCTGTCTCCTTTTTTAGTCTTTTAGTGCAACAGACGTTCAGGGATTTTTGCAGTAGAAGGCACTGTAAATTTGATTCTTTTATGACTGAGACGTCTTATATGTTTTACAAGTCTGAAATTTGCAGTTCCACAGTTTATGTATTACTCATTGATTTTGATGTATGTTGAAAATACACGATTATTTTCAGGATTGAGATCAACTCCTTTGTTTGTTAGGTACTGAGTTATATATGGCCTGCATCCTTATTAGGACTTTTAAGATTGTTTTGGAGTATTATCAAAGAGAGTTGATAGTTCTAGCAGTCGATACTTGATGATAGACAAAATTAAAATGTTGCCTTAATCATTTGAAGCCCCAGCTCAGTGGCTATCACCTGGAGAAAGAAATAAAAAATGAAGTTTCAAAATTTTCTTGTATTGTTTCTTGTGTGCTCTCTGGGGTTTATCTTGAAGACAGTGTTCCTGCAATAGTTAGGAAGTTTGCCCTTTTGTTTTATTTTTTTTTTTCTTTTTTTTTAATTGTTACTGTTTTGGTCATTACTAGTATACACTAGAAATAAACTCTTACTTGAATGTGAATATTTGGAATAGTGTGCCCTTTCATACCTATTTCTCTGTAATGCTGAGTTGAAAACATGTAGGAAAGTTGTATTTGTGTTACTGTTGTGTTGAGAAACTTCAATAATAGAGCTCCTATAATAGAGTTTGTTGTTTTATTGCCTTTGTAGCCTGTTCTTGGTGGGAGCAAACTTGGTACTGAGCTAATAACCAAGACTAGAGTGTTGAGGCTCTTGTTCCTTTGTTCCCAGGTAGCTTAATATAACCAGAACTTATTTTTATGAAGTCTGTAGAAAGTAAAAATGAATCAGCRAGATATTCCTTTGAAAGGCTTGCAAATTCCTGTTGACTGGATATAAATGTAATTTTTTTTAGAAGCAGAGCACTGGGAACATGGCCCTGCGAGACAGAGGAGCCAGCAGCAGCTCCATCAATGACAAGCAGGAACAGAACTATAATCGTGTTATTGCAATTGTCTTCCTGGCACTCTTCATCGACTTGTTGGGATTCGCTCTCATCTTGCCACTGTTTCCTTCCATCCTTGATTACTACAGCCAGACTGGGGTGAGTAACAGGGAAAGTCAGCTCACAGTAAGTGTTGGGATCTACGGAGGGAGGAATGGAAGAAAAATCACTTGCCTGGGGGCAAACCAAACAGCAGTAGGAAGATTAATAATTACCCAGCATATATAAATGGTTCATGGGCTGAATTTAGTTGTGAGCCTGCATAAGACTCTTCACCCTTGTTTTTTCATTAAAATGAGAGATTTGTTTTGATGAAAATATGGGTATTTCTTAGGGATTGTCCTTGTAGTTACCAATGCTTTTGTGTCTTACACTGATGTCACTGTTCAGAATGGATCTACATGCTGGGGCTTATCTAAGAGCCAAAGAGATGAGAGCTTCTTTTACCCCACCAGAGATTTCACACAGCCRCTTGCTCCCACCTCCAGTGTGGTGTTCCATCTCACTCCATTCCTAGCAGGGAGCTGGCTGCTGCTCCAGGAGCACAGAGCAGAAGATCCTGTGGCATTCCTGGCTGTGCAGGTGCTCATCGTGACCCTGCTGAGGTGTTTCTGGCATTACTGACCAAGATGAATGTGTTGTCATGGGAGAATTGCTTTTTTAGCCAACACCTCTGTCTCTCAGACCCTTTCCAACCACACTCCAAATTCAGCTGTAGGTTCTATTCTTACAACCACATCTCTAACCCAAATCACAGGCTCTGATCTCCAGGTCTTCCCCCACTCCCAGTGCATTTCCAACAGCCAAGATCTTCACCTTTTTTTCCACACTTCTACTTTTCAAATCCCCCTCCTCTTTTTGGGAATCACTCTTTTTTTGCATCACCTTTTCTTTCTGCATCTGCAAGCTCTTGGTTSTCCCAGGCTRAACAGTCTGTGTGCAGCRGGCCASAGTTGTGCAGTTGCCTTTTCAACTGAAAGATTCAGAGCATGCCTGTTTAATTCARGATTTAGCAAGTAATAGGCATGATGGTTTGAGAAAGTTCAAATTCAGACATTCCCCCACCCAAACAYGCACACCCCATTATTTACTGTCTGTTAGTTACAATTTAAGTTATTTTTAGCCYGTGATCTGTGAGAACATTTTCCTTTGTGGAGGAGGAGCAAAGGAATCATCTAACATTGTCTAGTTCCTGCACTCTGATGTTGTCTTTGAAATTAAAACAGAGAGTTTGTCTTCCTGCTTCTATTTCCCTGGTATCTGTTTTTCAGGATGGATTCTATTTATCATTGCAACGTGGTGTAGACTGGTTTGCAGTGATGGCTGGAATACCTCCGGAGAGGAAATACAACAGTGTCTTGTTTGGAGGTAGGAAAATGAAACAAACAAGCTAACAGCTGAAAAACAATGTTATTCCTGAGTTACTTGCAAGGTTGATGTGAAGAATGACAAGAAATACTAAAAGCATGCTTGCCTGTTAATACTTGTAGATTTAAGTAACACAGAAAATGTCTCTTAGAGTWGACTATAAATGATTTTGTTTTCATTACACTGATAGCAGAGAAGAGTTGGACAACCCCATCTCTGTCATTTGGAGACTCCTTGACAGGCAGGAGGAATGGGATAACACAAACCTTACGAAATTCAGTAAGGACAAATTTTAAGTCCTGCCTGTGGGAAAGAGTAGTCCTTGCAATGATACAGAACAGACACTGACTGATGGCCCTGGAGGTCCTGTGAGCAGCAAACTGGGCATGAGCCAGCCCTGGCAGCAAAGGTGCCCACAGCTCCTGGGATGCAGGAATGAGTCAGTGGATTGAGGGAAGTGATCATCTTCCTCCATTCAGCACCTGGACCATATCTGAACTGTTACATCCAGTTTTGGTCCCCAGTACCAAAAGGGTGGTGAGTTCCCAGAGGAAGGGTGTCCATGCACTGTGGTGAGTTCAGTGAAAGCTCTGAAGATGCAGAGTCTGGGGCCCTTGGCTGGTCTGCAGTGGGTGGCAGCTTTCCAGCACCTGTGGGGAGGTTATGGAGCACTAGGATCTTCACTGAGGTGTGTGTGGGAAAAGAGGCAACAGATGGAAGCAGAAATAGGGGAGGTTCAGACAAGAAATAGGGAGGAACATTTTCCAGTCAGGATGGTCAGTGGAACAGCTGCCCAGAGCACTCCTCATCCTCAGAGATCGTCAAACCCTTTTTGGGCAAGGCCCTGAACAATCTGCTCTGACTTCACAGCTGACTGTATAAGCAGGTGGTTGGAGTTGGTGACCCCCAGAGCTTCTTTTTAACCTGAATTTTCCTATGATCTTACTCAWTTTGTTCTACAGATTGTTACAGAAATACAGGCCCGCTGTTCCTTGTTGCCAGACTGCCAGCTGAGGGTCAGGAGCCTGCTGTGCTGGGCCCTGGCAGTCACAGAAATTACCAGAAATTACTTTCCCTTCACAATTGATCTGCATGTGATCAGAGATCAATCAGTAGGGAACACTGAAAATAGAAACTTGCTTGCCCCTTGGGCAGGTATAGTGCAGTGCTGCTTCTAAATCTCATTAGGCTTATTAAAAGCAGCAGAGCTGCTGGCCTGCAGGACCCATAAGCATTTTCTGTCACCAGGACACGGGTGTGGATGAGCTCCAGCAGGAATAGTGAGGGAAATATGTCATGTTACACATCAGACACTCGTCTGGCTTCTTGCCATTTAGACAGTTGTGATGAAACTGATTTCAGAGTATGAAGATATGAAGATGTCTGGGTTAATTTTAATTAGACCCTCTCATTTTAGTGAGCTGAGGTCTCCCCCAAGATAAGTAAAAGGCTTTTAAAATAAACGGAATGAAACACAAAACTTAATTAGAATATGTGTGAACATATTGTTGTTATTTAAAGTAGTTTAATTTGCTATAACAGGCATTAGGAAGTTTACAACCCATTTTCCTCTTTCCCACCATATTCTTGCAGGCATGTTTTTGTTTCTCTGCTCAGTTTTTAGTCAAATTACTGTCTTTGAAGGCTAGGAAACAGTTTTCTTTAGTCCCTCAGAAGCTGCTTTCTGTCTYCTCTAAGGCTTGACCAGAAGCCTTCTCCTTTCACCTTCTCACATCTCAGACTGTTTAAACAAGGGGTGGGAACTCCCAGTGGGGTCCARGGTGTTGCTTTTCCTTTTACCTGAGCCATGTCCTGACTCACGGGAGTGCTGTGTGGGAGGTTTCATTGTAGTTGTGATGTCAAGCAGAGGCCACTGCAGTCTTCCTGCAGCCTGTATTCACTGCCCTGGTGTGCCACCAGGAGCCCAGGATTGGGAAGGTGCTTGCAAGATCATCTTGGTGTTTCTCTCAGTGCCAGACGTATTTTTCCCTCTTTCATTTTTGCTTAGACTGCCACTTCTCCAAGGCARAAATTTCTGTGCCCATGTCAGGGCCCTGAGGGCACCAATATTTCCTTGCTGTGCATCACCCACACTTGTTCTGCCCAGCAATTCAGGAGCTGTGTTTCAGTTCAGACCTTGTCTCCAGGGTTGTCTCTGTCCCCATCTCTTGGATGGACCTGGAACCTGCACTGGAGGTGTCTTGTCTCCTGACCCACATCCCARTGTTATTTCCATTCCTTTCTCTGCCCCTGGCTCCTGCTGGTCCAGACTGGACTCCCTGGATGGGCAGCACCTGCTCTGCCCATCCCATCAGATCCTGGGACAGAGCCTGGTGAGGGCAGTGCCACTGCCGTGGTCACCTCAGCTCCTGGCTCCTTCCCCATGTGGAACAGCCCTGTTTTTGCAGCACCCTGCTTTGGAAATATTTGGCATGAAAAGGTGTTTTCACAGTGCTGGAAACACAGTGAAGGGAACTGTGTGTCATAAAGTGCCACTGTGGAAGTCCAAGATTTTTTACACAATTTTATTTTTAACTTGGAGTTATCACAAGCAGCTCTTCTTGACAAGGTGTTCAGTATCAATATTCTGCCTCCCTCRAAGCTGATGGGAGCAGAACTTCTGGCCTGTCTCTCTGCCTTTTAAAGCTTTGATAGCTGAATGATTTGAGACACATAACCTAGTTTTTCCTTTAGTGAAAGGCTGTGACAGCAAGRCATCTTTTGCCTGCTTGTTGAGAGTGTAGTGCAAATTAATAAGTCTGTGAAGCTAGAAATGGCAAGAGAAAAGAGGAATTAAAGATCACAGAAGCTGGAGGCAGATTTCAAAAGACTCTTGCAGTCTATTGGAATCACTCCTACCTCTTAGGGTGCCTCACTAACAGCAGTGCTTAAGTCCTTCTWTCCATGATAAAAAGGAAAGAAAAACTAATTAAGTGTGACAGAATCAGGTTCAAACAATCAAAAAAGTCTTAAAAGAACTGTGACTATTAAAGACTGTGTTATCTCTGCTTTTAGAACAGAAAATGTATGTAGTTATCAGGGAAACATTGGAGAATCATCATTCCATAATAACCAGTGAGTTTCAAACCCTTTCTCATCAGTAAAGTACCCAATATGTTGTTTATGCCTGTTACTCTGGTCTGGCTGTATTTGCTGCCTCAGATAAGTGMCAATTCAAGGTTGGTGTTCTGAGAGTGGCRTGGTTTCAAAGACAAAGCTATTCTTCACAGCTGCTGTTTCACATTTCATTTCACGTTTTTATCACACGTAGTGTGATAGGTCTTGAACAGCATGGCTGTCTTTGTATTTAAGATGAAGGCAGCAAGGATAATGATACATATCTTTTTATCTTTTTTTTTTTTTCTTTTTAGGTCTGATTGGCTCAATCTTTTCCATCCTGCAGTTTTTCTCCTCTCCCCTCACTGGTGCAGTGTCAGACCACTGGGGCAGAAGGCCTGTCATCCTAATGACAGTGGTATGTGTCACATGCTGATCTCAGTCATGGCATTTCAGTGCACAGTGGAAGGCACCATGATCTTGTGCTTAGCACAGAAATTGAATTGTGTGTCACTTGTGACACTCACAATTGAGTTATAGAATTTAATTTTCCAGATCTGTTTGTTGTTGATAGTTTCTTGCCAAGTGAGTGCTTAAACTGAACTTCCCAGATCCAGAATTGTGCATAGAAGGCACCAAAACAYTTACCTGTTTCTGTGATTTTCCAAAATCCCTTTCTCCTGTGTATGGGAGTGTGTATGACTTCAGATGCACTGGTGACAAATGTTAGACTTGATTCCTATGCATTTTAGTTCATCAAGTGATTAATGAGGGCTGATCACTAACAGCCTGTTCCATGGAGCCTGGGAATTGTTGGTTAGGAAGTGCTGCACAGCAGTGCAAGATGGATTTCTTAACATGAACATTCTCCTTATTTTGAACTCMGATTTCTCCTGAATTTGGAAACAAATGGAGTGGGATGTACAAAAACATTTTGTGCTAAGGACTGCTTTAACTTCCACTGAACTTTGCTCTTCTAATTTTGTTAGAAATCCCACAGTTATATGTAGTTYGTGTGGACTTATTTCTACTTTTTTATATCACTGTTCAAGACATAGTGCGGTGTCAGTGTATTCAGCCATTGAAAATATAATTTGTTATGAGCAKCCATTGAAAACAAATAAAAAGTGTGAATGTTTGGCTGGGAAAGATGCATAAATTATATATCAAATTTGCTTTGCTTTACAAAGAACCCTTTCTTGCTTCTGCAGATGGGTTTGATAGCATCATACTCACTGTGGGCTGCCTCTCGGACTTTTGGCGTTTTTCTTCTCTCCAGGATCATAGGTGGGATAAGCAAAGGGAATGTCAGCCTCTSCACAGCTATAATTGCTGACTTGCACTCTCCAAAAGCACGGAGCAAGGGCATGGTGAGTTACCCTTGTGGGGCACACGTTTGGTTTTAATAGGCAACTTTGAATTGATTTTGAGTGCTCAGTATGTCTTCYTCAGGTGTGTGTTCATTGATCAAGTGAAAAAATTGACTTTAAATTCTGCCTTGCTTCTGGAAAGATGCCAGATCATATTCCTGGGAGTTCTGGGACTTTTGCCAGTGACCTTCACCTACAAGTGGAATGCCAATGGGAAAACTATCTGTTTCAGTGTTGGAACTGTTACTCCTGCTAGTAACTTCCATTCTGATTATAACAGCTTAGWAACCAAAAGGTCTTATGGCCCAGTTTTGGCAGCTGGAAGCCACTTCCAGGGCAACCCCTTTTTCTCACCTTCCCAGGCTGTGGAAGCGCAGCAGCACAGCTCAGTGTGCTCCTGACTGCCTTGCACGCTGCRCTTCAGCATCTGAGCTCAGTGGGTAAAGGATGTGACATTTGGCTGACTGAGATGAATGAGCAGCTGCCCTATCCATTTCCAGAAGGCAGTGGCCCAGATGGAAACACCCTGCAGGCTGARCTTGGCCTGTGAATTACCAGTTATATCTTTTATCCTACAAAAGGCTTGGAGGCCCAGACATCTCTTAAAAAATTGTAAGCCACTACATGGGACAGCTGCTTCTTGGGAGGGGTAGGCTTTAGATTTCACATTGATAGCTAACAAATCCTCCCAGAAATTTATTATAATCCTKGTGAGCCAAAATGTATTGTTGTTTGTGGAGAGAGACAATAGTAAATAAAATGGGTTGGGGCCTATTTTTAGGGCCTGAGAGTAAATCACTTAGCACAGCATGGCTCACATCCACATGGCTTGTATTCTCTTCTTTTCCAAAGCAAAGTAGGCATGTTCATTCTGCTTTCTGGGAAGCARACAGCCTCTGACTGAAGCTATTCCCAAGCAGTGATGGGCCATTGCTTGTTCCTGCCACTTCCCTCCCTGAACACAAACCAAAATCAGTTATTTGGAAACAGCAGGATTTTCACACTTCATGCTCTTTGCTGTGCACTCTGCACCCTCAGGGTGATTGGGTTCTGTACCTGGTTAGTCCAAATCGCTTCAGAACTGAGCTACCTGAAAAAACCTGGTGTCTGAAACTCTGTGTGTGTTGACTGTGTCCCTGCAGGCCATGATTGGTGTTGCTTTCTCCCTGGGCTTCACCCTGGGCCCCATGATGGGCGCTTACCTCGCCACGCACACGGAGAGAGGAGAAGTCTTCTACCTSCGCTCAGCATTGTCAGCTCTCGTGTTTTCTGTGGCTGATTTCATTTTCATCTTCCTCCTYCTTCCAGAGACACTTCCCAAGGAAAAACGGGTAAATGGATGATCAGTCTCAATATCTGTGTTTTCTGTAAAAATAGGAWTTGAGAATTGTTGAAATACTGGAAACAGTGAACAGGCTCAGTCAGTGTCTCAGAAATCTATCTCGTTGCTGGGATTAGGATTGTTATTAAGGCTGGTGTCAAAGCACCTGTATTATCATAGAATCATAGAATATTTTGGGTTGCAAGGGACCTTAAAGATCACCTGTTTACAATCCCTCTGCCATGGGCAGGGACATTTTTCCATTAGATCAGATTGAAGCCTCATCCAACTTTACCTTGAACACTTCAGGGATGGTCCCATCCCCTAGCCCAGTGTAAYATAAGACATTCTTTATAGTTGACACAACTGATTAATTGCTGGGTTTGGTGTGTTAGGTTTAAATTTCTCAAAACCTAATGCAAACATGGGAGAGAGACTGAAATTTAAACTGTGATCACAAGGACTCTTTGGGSAAGAATTTCAGCAAATCATAAAATAAATGCATCAGAGACTGGATTTCCTTTCAYTTAGCCAGGATATGTTAAAAATTTTCTTACCTACTCTCTCTTGTATTTGCTTGAATATTTTGAACACTGAAGTAGCAAGTTACTTATTTCTGAACTGTTCCATCTTTTACAGATAGAAAATGCCTACATGTGCTAAAATTCAGTGACTGACTGGATTTGTGGGGCCAAACATTGATTAACATTATGATTTAATATCGTGTGATAGGACCTGTCCAAGATATATCTGATTAAAAGTCTCAGAACAGTCTCCTTTGTAGAGTGAGAGAGGTGGAATTCAGCCCTGGGTATCCTCACTCAATTTAAGGCTTTCAGTGGATTGGGTCTTTCCTGTGGTCCCTGATTTATAGGCAGCACTCAGTTTTTGGAGTGTGCTTGGTCTCTGGGTAGCCAAACCCATTTGACACTGAGAATTGTTCAGGAAATTTTTGTCTGCAATGATCCTGCCAGGGCAAAACTTTGTGCYTTCCCTGAGTGTTTCCCAGCAGGATGTGTCCCATGTGAAATCTGTTGCTCACACTATGTTCCCAAGCACTACAGGTATTTTATTTTCTTTTAACAACTCTGTTCCTCTTTCCTATTTGGCTGTTTCTAAACATTCCTGTTCTTAGAGCTGCACACTCTGGGAAAGTGGCAACGTGGTGACACAGGGAAGGGCTGCAGAGCGAAGCTGTATCCTATAAACAATTCCTCCTTTGCTGTAGAGTGATTAAATGGCTTCAGTGCCCTTTAGGATTATGTGATGACTGARTAGATCCCTTCCTCTTTTAGTATCCTCTTGAGAGTTGTCCTTGTCAGCTGGTCTGTGTTAGCCAACACCACTGAATTTTGGTGAGGAAAGGAGCTCTCTGTYGCTGCTTTTTGGGGTTCTGTCCCYGTGCAGCAGTGGGTGCTGCATGAGRTGCTGCTCAGGGCTGCTCCCAGTCCCACAGAGTCCCCAGGGCAGAGGTTTGGCTGCTSTGACAGAGTGGTTTGGTGCTCCTTGTGCTGTCAGCCTCCATCTGGGCATGTGATCCATGTGTTTACATAACAAATATCTRTTTCAATATTTGTAATTTCAGTTATTAGGCTGCTCTGCTCTCTTCTTTGGTAATTCCTCCCTCTTCTGAGGGGGAGTGAGCCATTTCCTTGGCTCATGGATGACAGAGGAAAGGCAGGTATGTTGGCTGCCTTTCTGGAGCTTGGCTGGGCTGAGCTGGAGCAGGTGCTTCCACAGTATAGGAATRGAACATGCTGGAAGGACAAAGCTGTAAAAAGAGGGGAAATGATCATGATAACTGRCAGGAGGACGTGCCAGTGGGATCAGACATCTGTTTCCTTGAAATYTGCTGTGTTCTCATTATACCCTTGTTTCTCTATCAGTCTGCTTTACTCAGTAGAGAATATTTCACATTGATTCATCGTGAATTAACTTGTAGGAAGGGGAAAACAGGGTGGGGTGGAGAACAAGGATGTGTTTTCATCCAAAGAGAATGGAWTTTTTACTCTCCTCCTTCCTCTTTWTATCAACTGTTCCACAAATTGATCAAGCGAAGAGAGTCAGACATTGGCCTTATGGCAGCCAAAACAGCTCCTGCTCTGACCTGACTGGGAGAAGGGAGAATAGGAAGGTCTCTCATTCCATGAGTCCCCTTTTAGAGCTTTTGAGTTAGTTTTTAGCTAAGCTAGCCATGAGCAAGGCTGCCTAGTTGGAGGGAGGGCCCTACAGCTCTTTTTTTCTGGACTGTGTGTGGGGCCATGCAGTATCAGCAGCAGGTTTGTGGAAAGGCCAAGCTGTGCTCTGTGCATGCACAGATGTGAGCAGTGTCTGTTTTGGGAGCTGAGGCTGCATTCCTGATGTGGGGTGACCCTGCCTTCCAGAYGTGTTTCTGAGTCTCTCTGCATCAGAGGAAAACAGAATGAGCAAAGACACTGGGAAAAAGGTGCCACTCAAGGTGACTTTTGGGGTGATCATGAAGTAAAATTGAGCAGTTGTGGAGTAATAAATCATAAGCATAGAAATGAAATACAAGTTAGATGTTGCAGAGTTCGAACTTGTGAAGAAACTAAACTTCATGCAGGTTGACATCGACTGAAATGGGCAGTGTACGCTTTTTGGGGAATGGTAAAACCCTTTAGCCAGTTTTAGAACAATGTTTTCGTTATGGATCAGTGGATGAAGTCACTTCTAGACCACTGTTTCCATGGCAAAGATAGGAGAAATTGAAAAAAATGTATGTGCACACACACAAACACATCTGTATTAAAAAATTGAATAGGTATACATATATATTATATAAAACACTTAATATTTTAAACATTTGTATATAAAATGTATATCCTCTGGACCAAATTAAAATCAGCCTTGCACAAATCAGCTTAGCATCCTGTCTGCCATGGACAGTAATTCAAACCAGGGACAAACTACAGGGTATTTTTACTACTGGCAAACACGCTTGCAGAGAGCTGTTTGTGCCCAGATCCTCTGTGCTGGAGTGCAAACCCCATGGTACCAGCACATGCAGGAACTGAGGATTTCTACAAGCCAGCTTCAGGAAATCCTCTTTGACTTCTCAACAGCGKGAGCAAACTTCTTGGGCGTGTCTGTTTACTCTCTGCAATAAATGCCGTGGGAGGGAGAATAAATATCCCAGTGTGTTCTGTGTGAATCAGCAACTTCATGGCTCCAGAGCAGCCCAGCCTGGCCTCTTCTGSCTGCTGTTGTGAGGCCAATGGGCTCCAGAGCTCTGCTGGACTCAGGAGCATCAAAACAAGACAGGGGGCACGTTAAWACCATATTGAAGGTTGGTTTGTTTACAGCTTCATTAAATCCAGCCCGTAATGAGCCCTCAGGTCATGCACTGAGATTAAGTTCCACTGATAATCTGACCTTTAATCTCTGCCCTCAAAGGGATAACAGCTCCCTCCCCCCTATCTGGGAGGAGAAGGAAGCTCATCAGATAAAGCCTTGCAGTGCTTTGAAGGCATGAAATGCTACATGTGATTATTCAGGATTCTTSAGTGTCTTATCTCTTTCTGTGACTTGTTTAAAGTGACAGGCTAAATTTTACTCTAAAAACAATTGTTTCCCTTATGATTCAGTTAATTTGTTTTYTGTTAATTTAGACATTATTTATTTTACTGTTTTCTTTAATTKTCTTTATTTTAGAATTTATTAAAAAAAATTTAGAAAATGTAAATTCTCTATGGGTGGAACAAGAAGCACCTTCCCAGTGTCTGTGGGTGAGGAGCAGAGAGGGTGTCACTAGTGCATAATTAGGTTGAAGTGTATGGAGTACAAAGCCCAGAAGCACTACAAAATTAATTTTTCTCTTCAAAAAGCCACACATTGTGGCTGGGCAGAGTGTCCTTGGAGATTTCTCTAAAATATCTCCAAAGAATCTCTCTAAAAATTATATTTTCCTTTTCTTCCCCAGGAGGTGTCACTGGCTGGCTAAAGCAATAATCAGTACCAAAACAGAGCAGTGTTTGATGTGCTGCACATATTGGTCTCAGATTTGTGGCACAGGAGCAAATCCTCAGCTTCCTGTGAGCCTCCAGGCAGATGTGCCATTATTTTCCCAGTAACTGTTCTTTGGACAGGAGGGATRATGCAAAAGGTGAACCAAATAAAGCACCTTCAAGGCTCTGGAGAAGAGCCTCTTCTGCTCTGTAAGAGGCCAAAGAAGAATCTCTCTTTTGTTTTCAGTGAAAGGTGCTATCAATGCTCTACTTTTCAGTTCTGGGCTCAGAAAGTCTGGGTTGTTATTGGGGCSCACTCAAATCCCAGTGCCAGGTTCCTTGTTTCATCTCAGATGATTTGTGTGGGTGTAGAGGCACATTTGGTGGTTACTGACAGTTCCTAGCAGTGGTTATTACATTAGGATTTTAAATAAACCTCTTTCTGTCTTTGATCAGGTCTCTTCTGTGACATCTGGGTTTCAGGCAGCAGTTGATTTGCTCAGTCCTTTGGCTTTATTTCAGTTCTCTGCAGTCACCCGAGGAAAGGAATCCCCTTCAGAGCAGAGTAAGTGTCAGATGGCTTTTCACAGTAATACTCTGTCTTTTGTCTTTTTGTGTGTGGTGTTGGTCTCTCAGTGAAAACTGTACTCAAACCACTCCAGAAGCAGCACTCTTTGCTCATTTAAAACCCACCTTAATAACTCATGAACATGGAATTGGAAGTCCCATTGGACCTTGGTCCTGTTAGTCCCAAAAGATTTTGAAGACGAGTGTTTTGAGGATTTCTGGCTTGATATTTGTGTGTTCCTCAGCCAGTGGCTGCAGCATGGRGCAGGCTGCAGTGAGTGAAGTGATTTAAAGACAGATCAAGGCATGAGCAAGGGAGATGTGAGTTCGCTTATTCAAGCTGCCAACCAGGAAACTTCAGACTGGAATTTTATTTCTCAATTCGCACCTTAGACTTGAAATTCTCTACATTAATTTCCTCAAGCTGTAGAAAATAAATCAGTATTTGTAATGTACACCAATTTACCATTCAGTCCTCCGTGCTGCTGTCAGGAACAGGGCAATATTTGCCTCTTTGGACAAAACCTGCCAAAGCCTGCATTGGCAGAACAAAAAGGTAACCTGGCACAGACCATCTGCAGCTTAGAAAAACGGGTGTGTGCTTTAGTCAGTAACATCCTGAGAGCAGCATCAAGGTATATATGGGTGGAATACAGGTGTGGATTAAAATAATATCAATCAATCAATCAATCAATCAATCAATCAATCAATCAATCCCCATACAAGCAGAAGTGTGAAGGTGAGGTGGAGGACCTGGGCTGGGTGAGTGAGACCAGAGTGACCCAGAGAAAGATGAGTGGGTTTGTGTCTCCTCCCCTCATACGAAGGGGGTGAGGGGGGTAGGACTCATTTTGTGGCATGTCTTGTGTGGATATTTAAAATGAGCATCTGAGGTGAGAACATTTCCCTACACAGTTGATAAATGTTGCTCTTCTATTGTGGTTTTATTCTCAAGATGTGCTTGGAAAACACCACCATGTTTCTCTTCCCACTTCCCCCTCCTTGGTGTTTGTGTTTTTTTGTTTGTTTAGATCTTCAGAATCTGAAAATTCTGGGCCTGGTTTACTTCYTGTACCTCTTCCTGTTTTCTGGCTTGGAGTATACGCTGAGTTTTCTCACTCACCAGAGATTCCACTTCAGCAGGTATTGCACACTTTGAATATAAATGTTGTGCATTTTGACTAGGATATTTTCCAAAATCTTGATTCAAGGTCTCTTCRTGTATTTTCAAGAGAGGCTTTCTGACATTGGTAAAATCACTCATTAAAGCCACCACTGTGTTCAGTGATACTTGGGCTTTTTGAGAAGAATTTATGAAATATAGGCACAACGTTTATCATGAAAGGAAGTACTCAATCTACAACTTCTAATAATGAGAGAATATAAATACACAAGATTAAATTAAAGCTCCTGATATGCATATATGTATATATGTATATATGTATAAATGTATATATGTATATATGATATAGCTGTGCTACTTGTATTGATTACAGTAAAACCTTTTCTTGCTCAGAAGAGTTTTTGGGACAAATCAGGACAAATCTTGAAGCTCCAAGAGTCAAAGAATGGGGGGATATCTSGTGATTCTATTTGCTCCCCAGTGCTCTGCGTTGCATGTGGTGTGCACTCATGTCACAGAGCCCGATTTCCTGGAGTCAAATAMCAGAGAAAGAACAGAATCCACCAACAGCTCCACTTGAAATACTTTTCCTGCCAGCTCATAGGAAGAATTCCAGCCAGGAACGTGAACTTGCAACTTGATTCCTATGCATGTCCTTCCCTCTGAGTGATTCCCAGGGGGTGTCTCATCGTTCCCTGTCTGTCTTTGATTACAGTTTGTGGTTTAACTAATCCCTGGTGTCAAGGAGAGGTTTTGTAGTGTACTGAGCTTTGTTGTGCCCTGTGCATTCTGGGCAGGGCCCAGTGAGCTGCAGAGCTGTGTGAGCCCCGAGGAGCATTTTGTGTCCCTTGCTCAGGGAGGGTCTGCGCGGGAGCGGTGAATCCCAGGCTGGAACGCTCCGTGTGTGACTCCGTAATCTGTGTTTTTGCCTCCCTTCCAGCATGCAGCAGGGCAAGATGTTTTTCTTTATTGGAATAACAATGGCTGTGATCCAGGGAGGCTATGCTCGCCGAATCAAGCCAGGAAATGAAATCAGAGCTGTAAAAAGGGTAAAAAAAAAAATTATTTTTCTTCCCTCCTCCCCAAACCTGATATATTAATTTTCAGTCTAAAGTTCAGTGAAGGGTAATTGGAAGCTATAACTGTATTTGTTCAATCAAAAGAAATTTCTGTCTCATCTATTCAGTTAAATGACTTCTTAAAACTGTGGTTCTTGGGCACTTACTGTTCTAACTAAACTTTGGAACATTAGAACTATTTCTGATTATATGAGTAAACTGTTATTGAAACTTGGTGTTCTTCATATTTAATTGCAGTAAGGAATGAGAACAGATTGTCCACCTGTGCAAGTTAGGTAAAATATTGTGAAGGATATGCTTTATTTCAGCAATTTCTCTTACAATGCAGACATTGAAACTACTAATGCTGCTTTGGGATTGATCTCTGACTCTTTCTGGGAAATTATTTTCAAACTGGCCATCTTCRTGCTTGACAGGTTTTCCCTAGGTGTATTTCACTGCTGGGCAGGGAGAAATAGTTTMTTTTTCCAATCTYTGATTTGTGATCATTAGTATTACASGTAACAAAAGCATGTASCAATGTTCAGAACAAAGTTTCACTGACAAAAGTGCACATTCCTTTGTTTTGCTTGGCTCTTTCTTCATGGAGATGCTGCAGCTGCTGGACTGGGGTGACAGGGAACAGCTCCCTGCAGTTTTTACAGCTGTGAGAAAAGTATATCTGTGTTGTCCTTTACATTTGTGTGTGGAACTGAACAAAGCACTACCTTGACTCCTCGGCAATGGGTTTGCTTGGGCTGTTAGAGCCTCGATCAATGTATTTTACATTATTTTGAGGCCAGTTTTGAGTTTCAGTGGTGGCAGGGTAGAAGATTTCCAAACCACTGCATTCCAGTGAATTGACTCAGCTTTTCTTAAAGTAAAAAGAAACTTTTCACTGGYGAAACAAACTCCACCCTGATCCCTGGCAGGCAGATGTTGATGTCAGGCTGCTGGTGTCACGTTTCCCTGTGGATCAACATCAGCTGCTGCGTTGGTGCTGCTTCACCCCCCACATCAGCTTCCCCCATGTGCTCTGCCAGCCCTGTGTTTGCTGGCACTGCACTGCCTTTGCACCTCTCATTTTCATACTCCTTCCCCTTCCTGCACACTGGGATGTGCAGTTACCCCAAACACTCGTTTGCTGGGCTGATGGCTCCTCATGAACACCCGTGTCCACTCTGCAGAGACACCCCTGGCCCTGGGGCGCTCTCTCCATGGATTCCAGTGGGTTTTGTGGTTGTTCTCCCTTTTGCTGAAGTTATTCTGACAGTTTGTTAGTGAGTCTGCACCATATGGCAGACATGGCCTCTCTCAGCACAGTGGTTACAGCAGCTCATTTATAACTGAATCTTCAAAATGAGGCACTCAGAGGCACTGAATACCCTCCTTCAGCACACACYGAGCACAGCTGATCTGTCTTTCCTGCAGGAGCTCTGCAAGCGAGGAAGATGTCACAGGGGAACTGAAGTGCAGCTCTTGGAGGAGATGAAGAATGCTTTTTATTTTTGGAGTTTGAATTTTAGATGTACCCTCTCCCCCGTTTTTTTCCTCTTGGCTACAAAAGTCTGAAAGCTGAAGATAAAATCAGCCAATGCAGCTGAGAAAAAGCAGAGGAGCAGTAGTCCTGCTGCACACAAGSTTTTTCTTCTCTTGTGCCAGCTCAGATGTAGAGTTAAAGCCAGATTTCTGCCCAGGTCAAMACAGAACAAGAGAAAAAAATCCCTGCAAAACGACAGATCTGTAGAGAGAGAACTTGCATGTGGTGTGCAATCATGTGAGATGAGAGGGAACAGAAAAGTGCATTGTGCTGGTGTGTGGCCATGCAGGTGACTTTGAAATGTCTGCTTGGGAAGAAAGGGCTTTCTGCTTCTAACTTGTGTGCTGTCCCTCAGCAGAAGGGAACTGGCAGGACACCTAGAGTTGGGCTTTAACAAGCACAGCTTAGATGTAACCGTGTGACTCATTCCTTTTGCAGGCTATTATGCTGCTGATTCCAGCGTTCCTGTTAATTGGATGGGCTGCAAATGTGACCATGCTGGGCGCTGGACTGTTGCTGTACTCCTTTGGTGAGCTGTTCAAAAGGCGCTGCCAAGCYAAGCACAAATGATTTTTCTTTGCATATTTATTCACACTTTAAAAAGATGCACTTTTAATTTCAAACTACAAGTAACAGAAAGTTGACACTTTGGTTTATGAAATATGAACGAAGCAGTGTCTGGGTTTTTTTCTGATGCTGTTTGTATCACAGGAAGTTGCTATGGTGGTRTTTGGAAGCATCCCCAGTGCTCCTGTTGTCCCTCACTAGGGAGGTCCTAAGGATGGGGTTTTTTACCCCTTTTACCACACCTAGAAGCAAAATATTTACTAAATAACTCAGGGAAAAAAGTGAGACATTGTGTCTTTGTACCTGCGTGGTGGTTGCATTATTTCTTAGGCCGCAGGCTGGAGATGTGCATCCTCTGAGGGTGCTCGGGCTGAGCAAGAGTGAGGGTCAGATGTTTGTGTAAGTGCTTGCATACATTCTGTTCTGCCAACCTAAGCTGCTGTTCAGGGAAACAGTTATGAATTAAGTTGGATCCATCTACTGGATGCCTAAAGAGAGATTTTAGGTATTACCAGTGCTGCTATTGTTAAGAAGCTCCATATAGGACTAATTACAAAAGTGGACTTCTGTTTTGCATGGTACCGGGATGATTTAGGACTAAACTCTAAACCACAGAATCACCTATTGAGTTTATTATTGGTCTGGGGACCAGCTGTGTGTTTGACAGGTGAGGAGTGAGAGGAACTGTTCAATTTGTTTAACCATGTTTGAGTCTTCCCTGGCCCCTTCCTGTGCAGGTGACTCCATCTCTTCCCAGTTAAGCCGGATAGAAAAGCCTCTGTGGGGGTTCTCCTCCCCATCTCTTCCTGCCTCTGCCCAGCAGTTGGGGCACCTGCAGTTAAGACAGCATTGATCATTCCAGCTCTCTGGTTGTACTTCCCTTCCCTTCCTGGAAACAATTCTGCTTTGTATGTTTGAGGCGCTCCTTTCTTGGCAGAAAYGGCCCCTATTTCAGTAAGAGGGCAGCGATTGTTGAACAACTCTTGGCTTTTGTGTCCAAAAAATTTTGTAACCTTTTCTTCTTGGCCATGACTGTCTTATTTCCCAAGACAGCCTGTAGCTGCCTCTCATCCCTGAGTACAGGGGGCTGCCTGCACAGGGGCAGTGTCACTGGTACAGCCACCTCATTGTTTGGAACGTGAGCGATTCCCTGCTCCACCTGATAAGGCCACAGTGATTTGGAGAAGTGCCACTTGGCTGATCTGCCCTGTCCATCCCTGTCCCATGGGCTCGCAGAATGAGCGATTCTAATGTGAAACATCTGCTCAGAGCCCTCGTGGCTCTGGGCTCTTCCTACAGGTTGGCTTGGAGGGGGTGTTTCCATTATTGAACTGTAGTAAACCTGATGACTCAGTGGTGCTGGAGTGCCCAGAGCTCAGCATATTTCTCTGCACTAGTAACGAGTTTGGGCCACATGGGGTTTTTTTTCACTGTTGCTCTTGTAACTGTTCTGAGCTTTGCCATTCACTGACAGTCTCTTCTGTGGATTTTTCCAGCTGCTGCCATTGTCATCCCGTGTTTGTCAGCAGTGGTGTCAGGCTATGGTGAGTGTCCTTCCTGCTCTGACCACATCACTGACCTTTGCATTGACTTGGCTCCAATAYAGAACTGCCCTCGAGTTTAGTGAAGCATCAACAGGAACAGTTGTGGGCTCATCTCAGGCTGTTCTGCAGGGGAACACAAGGAACAATCCCCTGGCTCACACCTGGCTCATAACTGATAATTTCAGCACCAACAGCAATGCTCTGCTCRGAGTGACCATCAGTATCACACTTGAATTTTGTACTGGGTAACTGAGCTCAGTCCAGTGTGATGGGGAAACTGCAGCAACTTCATTGCTGGTGGTGATGAAGATGAGCAGTGGGCAAAGGCCACAAATGGCTCTGAGGAGGGAATGGCCTGGGCTCTCTGAGAGAGGCACCAGCCATCCCTGCCAGCAGTGAAATAATTTCTTCCTGATTCCTTAGAAAATACTTTCTAATGAACCTTCTGAAATCTTCTGGCATGGTTGCTGTGTAACCCTGTCATACAGATGTAGCTGTGTTGCCATCTGTGGATGACATGTCTTTGGGTCAGCTGGGTGCCAGGACTGCAGTGCTTGATGAGGTAGAAAAGCAAGGCTTTGCTCATCCACGTCACTTTTATGTTGCTCTTATTTAACTTGCATCTACACTTCTGTGTTTATTGTACACTTGGGCCTCCTTGGAAAATCCTGTGTACAATCTGAAGCTTTTGTTTTGGATAGGTTTGAGGGGTTTTGGGAGGTGCGGAACATGCACTACAAATTGTCCCAGTCCCGCAATTGTGCCAGGCCATGCTGTCTATAGAATGGAGCAGTTGTGAGGACCTTAGTGGAGGGCAAATAAGAGCAGATTGGGCATGGGGTGTGAAAAAATGGGGAGATGCAGCTGGGAAATATCTCCGAAAGAAAAAGGCTCCCAGAGCTACAGCCATGCCCTGCCCCAAGCAAAACCCCACACAGTAACGCTCTGCTTGCACAGGCACTGCCAGCCAGAAGGGACGAGTCATGGGCATCCTGAGGAGCCTGGGCGCCCTGGCCAGAGCCCTGGGACCCATCCTGGCAGCTGCAGGTGAGTGCAGCCTCGTGCTCCTTCCTGCCTTTGGCACCACAGCCCAGGGGGTCAGAAGGGGCACAGGTACCCCTTGCATGGGTAAAGGGACAGATCAATGGGAAGCAGCCTCAGAGCTTGCACTCAGGCTATTGGTAACACCAAGCAARCCAGAACCTGAGTGCAGCCACTGGCACCCTCTGGCTCAGCCAAGGGTCAGTAATTCTGTTCTCCAGAGCAGTAATTCTGTTCTTGTGAGCACAGCAGCTTTGAGGGTGTTTACACATCTGCAAGGACAAGMACAGTAACAGATGAATCCCATTTCTTTTGCAGTTTACTGGCTGGCTGGGGCAGAGATTTGCTTCACTGTCTGTGGAGCTTTGTTCCTTGTCCCCTTGGCTTTACTCAGGTCTATAAAACAGCAGACAAAGGAGGAGTAGGAAGGAAGAACCACAAAACTATCACCAGCTTCCAAGGACCTCTGCAAGACCTGACTCTTGGCACCTGACTCTGCTGAGCGAATGGGAAAAGGAGGATTTTGATCTTCTGGAAGGACATACACAATGACCGGGTGCAGCAATAACACACAGCAGTTAAGTTTAAGGTGGCCTCCCAGCCAGCTGGGTTAGCTTTGCAAATAGGAAAAAAAAACCGAATGAAAACAGACACACACACACACTCCCCAAAGAGTTGAGTAAGGCATTAAGAACAGCAGAGAAGCAGAACAGACACACACACACACAGTCCCCAAAGAGTTGAGTAAGGCATTAAGAACAGCAGAGAAGCAGAGACAGCACAACAGCGACAGGTCTGGAGCCCTCCCTGTTGCACACAGGGCTCTGTTCCTTGTCCTGAGYGAAGCCTCTGCAGGGGCTGGGCTGGCACAGAACAAACCCTCAGGACTGCTCTGATGGGGTTTCGTGCAGCTGGTACAAGAGCTCTGCAAATGCTGCAGCCACACCGGCAAACCTGACGGTCCAACAAAAGCAGCAGCASACTACAGGCTTCCTGGTACCCCACTGGTACTTTGGCACAGGTGCACTGTTTTTAATATACAATTACATTTGGAGAGATGTTTTATATTTCTAATACTCTGTGATGTTTTTGATTACCAAGCCCTGTTCTTTTTGCATTACAAATAAACGGTTACATTTACAGTCCTGTGGTCAGTTCATTACAGTTGTTACACCATCTGAACTGAACATCTCTGTCTGGCTGAGCCMAAGTGGGCCCAGAATTTTATCCAAGGTGCCAAAGGCCTCCTTGAGGGAGCCAAACATGGATGGCACCACCATGCCAACACCAGCAATGGGTGCGGGAAGAAACCTACAGTAGCCAATTTGCGTATTTTCTGAGAATGAAAGTCATCATTAATCAACACATTAATAATTAATAGGAAACAAAAGCAAATTAGGCTACAGAATAAAAGTGCACAAGTTTTGAAAGCAGACCATGGATTTTTTTTTTTCAAGAGTTTTATTTGTGAGTAGAACTTAATGATACAAGAAAGAAAGAAAAAAATACAGGACTTTATTCTGCCCCAAAGTGTGTAACCATACCATACATGACTACATTTCATATTGTAATACAAAGAACTAAAAAGAACAAACTACAAAATTAGAAATTAAGARTCATTGCATATGTGGTCAAGATAAATGGAGGGACTTCAGTAAAGAACTGAAACATACAGCAATTAGTCATTTAGTTACGACCCTGCAATAAAACACAATTTAGCAAAATAAGTGTTGTTTGCTTCCTAGTGTACAAGGACATACAAGGTTAGAGTAGAAGCTGAAAGCCATTCGTGCCATGCAGTCCTGCCTGAGCGCTGCTGTCCGGGGGCTCCTGCCCTGTGCCCGCCTGCTCTGTCCCACCCARCCAGGCCACGACACCTTTCCCACGGTACCAGTGGCCACCTCCAAAGCTCTCCTCACTGGAACACTGACAGCTCTAATTCCACTCCCAGCTGTTGCCCCTTCGCTGTGTAAACCCAGCCCGAGGCATCGGCACCTCCCAACCTGACAAAGGCCTTGCTCTGCCCACCCAGAGCTGCCTCCAGCTGCTCCACCCGCCCGGCCCTCTGTGCTTTCTGCTGCATGAATGTAAGGCATTAGTTCTCTGCTATTTTACCAATTGCAACATTTAATATTGTCCTAAAAGGTTACATCCATGTTCTGTTGTGTTACAGACACATACTGTGAGTCAGTGTGCTGCCCTCACCCCCACAGGGTGTAGGGGTTTGCTGCTGTTAAACCTGAAATGCAAATTGTAGAAACCAGAAATGGTCACCGACCCGCCAGCCCTGGGCCGGGGAATGGYACCTGCTTTCTGGAGAATTCCGCAAGCTTGACCTACCTGATCTTAAATTACTTTTACAATTAGTGAGAGACAGAAGCATGGCAATAACTGGGAAATAGTGAACTCAGTGGTGGGAGTGATTTGCCATGCTGCACATTAAACAAACATTTATAGCAAACGGTGAAAATACACCTTTAAGGTTACACAGGATTTCTGCACTTGACTGCTGGCAACAACAACAAAAAGATTTAAAGAAATGCCAGCTTTTGTAAGTGAAAATATAATTACTCTAAAACAAGGTGAAATACTCAGTGTAATGCATTTACATTTTTATCAGTGGGAAGGAACAAACACAWAAAGCTGCACATGGGGTTTCATGCACAGCAAGGCTGCATGTGCAATAAAGGGATTTTTAAGAGGATGAAAAAACCTGTGCTAAGGCCCAAAATACACCTGCCCATGCTCCACACCACCAGCTGAAAAACTTCGGAAATAMCTTTACTTCAGTTACTTTTTAACCTTTTCTAACAGCCAAATCRCCACATGACTCAGCGAGGCAAGAGCAAAGACAGATTTCCCTTAAACTGTAATTCACAAGAAAGAAAAAAACCAGGTCAAGACTGGGCTCTTTGAACACACAACATGAGCGGAACACACCACAGTCATTTCAGTCCTAGACATCAAAGATTGATTTCACCAGCCAGTTATTAAAAAAAAGTGAAAATCACCTTCATTTTGTAACAATAGTGAAAAGSGAGAAAGAGAGGAAGCAATGGAGAACCTCAAAGCTTGGCCAAAACACAACCTGTACTCACAAGCTTGCAGAAGTTTACACGTCAGTTCAAGAATACGCCCCCTTGAGAACACCACTGCAAAAGCTTCCTCTCTAAAAGTCAAAATTTAAGAAATTTACCTGTGGCTTGGAATAGAATATTGGAAAGAACACTTCTTGTGGTAAGCAATGGGTGGTTTATTTTTAATTGTGAACTTCTTATATTCTTTTGCAAAGCAGTGCAGGCTTTACATTAAAAATAGTGAATCAATGCCTTCCACATGGAAGTCATTTACATTTGATTACAAATTAGGGATCAGATCTGTGGCAGCTGCTGAACACACAGGATTAGCACCTTTTTGGACATTAATTTCTGGTTATAACCCTAAACAATCAAGCCATAACTTGAGGGGCTGGTTGGATTAATTGTGGCATTCATTTACATAGTAAGACAAAACACTCAGTACGATCTGGTACATTCTAGTGGTTAATGGATTTTAAAATATGACAGTGTTTCTGCAGTGGGTTGGCCTTTAGGAGTCACTCTTCTTTTTGCTCTTCTTCAGGAAGGAAGGAGTGCGAAACTTCTTTTTCTTTTTTGATGGGGATTTCCCTGGAGATTCATCACTACCTGCATCAGCTGCTGTCCCCTCCTCAGCTGTTGGTGTTGCTGGCTCTTCAGTGGGTTGAGACTGGGGTTCCTTATTTTCCACTGCAGGTGGTTCTGTTTGGCTTTTGGGCACGTCTTGGTCACATCTCCCTTCCTCCTTTCCTAAGGGAGGGAAGCCGAGTGCTTCCGAAGGCTCATCAGGGGTGAGATCTGGGAGGGTTTGCTTGAAAGTTGCAGCATCACTGTCATCTCTGTAGGTCTGGTCCTGCCGTGTCTCTGGTGGACGGACAGACAGGGACAGTGAGTTTACAAAAGTGTCCCTGGAGCAGGGCAAGCGAAGCAAGTGGATGGTGAGCGCGCTCTAAAAGAAACTAATATATTTACTTTGCATAAAAGCCTTTGTAATAGGGCTGTTTGCCAGATTTGGGCACAGAAGAAATAAGATAGTCCAAAGTTCTATTTTTTTTTTAAACTTCTTCACACAGAACAGATAAAGCTGAACTGAATCAGGAAGAAAGTAAGTGTTCAGATCTTGCTCCTGCTTTACCTGTGATGCTTGCAGGCAACATGAGATTTTGGTGCAATAAAGTAGGAATTAAACCTACAGTTTTCATTGGCATTGAGTAGAGTATTTTGCAATTCTATATATTTATTCTCATCTCTTTTGCTGATTTGCAGTGATCCCATACATGCAAATCCATTAATTTCTAAATTGTTGGCTTGCCAATTTATGATCACAATGAATGGATTTTCATAATATTCTTCCATGATATGTTGCTTCAAAATATGATTTCCTATCACAAAGGCTTCAGGTTTTTTTTTGCAATATATGAGTACATATTATGGATTCCTATAAGTAAAATCCATGTAGTTTATCAAATTAAATGAGCTCAGCAGGTTATGCAATACAGCTTATTTTGTTTATTTATGTGATGTCAACAGTAAAAACTCACCCTGCAAAAGTGAACATCAAAAGTCCAGTGGTAACTGTATGTCCAAAGGAGAACTGAGCCACTCCTCCCTCAACTGCAACACTTTCCCCACTCACCGCTGTGCTTTAGGGATGCTGTTAAAGGCTCCTCTTTGTGCAAGGGTTCAACAAGGAGCACTTTGTGGAGTTCCCTGCAATGTTCTCCGTGCACCGCAGCCGAGCAGTGTCCCGTTAGCTGTGTCACATCTATCCCCACTGATGTTACGTAAGGAGGAATTTAGAACAAAATCCAGGCCATGCTCATTGTGAGGCACAAATGAAAGGCAACTAYTTTTTCCCCCGTTCAAAATCTTGTTTGTTTTAATTTGAAAAGACTGAAGGCTTTCACAAGAATTTACAGAAAATATTTGATACTTTCACATTTTTCCTATGAAAAAGACAGTGTTCTTTTTACATCTGCCAGATGGGATTAATAATCCTCTGATATATTTTAGAGGGCTCTGTTCTGTGAATACCTGCTAGGAAACAAACATGTTTTGCCTAGAGCACCATKAACTTCTAATAGGTTAAATAAACACCACACACTAGTATTCAGTGCCAAACACTCGGAATGCACAAGTTAGCAGTTTAAAAGTTATAATGCAGGCAGGAGTGAAATCAGAGCAAAAAAGAGAAAGCARTTATGTACAATCCAAGCTGCCTCCTGAAGCTGTAGTTCAGTCTATGTACGGGAGACACAAATATATAAGAAACACCAGTTACAATTCTTCACKACCACTACACTGCTTTTGGATTTCATTTGATTTTTCAGAAAAGTCTGAAAACTTTAACTGAGAACATTGCTGAGCTCGTCTCTCTGGGATCCAGTAAGAGGATATGTGGAATGGTTCAAAGCTGCACCAGGGGATGTTCAGACTGGACTTTGGGAAGCATTTCTTTACTAAGAGGGTGGTCAGACATTGGAGTAGGCTTCCCAGAGAGATGGACAAGGCCCCAGGCCAGTCACTGTCAGTAAGAGATTAGGACAATTTGCTTTAACTTTTTTTCAGCCCTGAACTGGGTCAGGCAGTTGGACTAGATGATCAGCTATGTCCCTTCGAAGTAAAAAATATTATATTCTATTCCTTAGTTGGCCCAATTTTTAGAACAAGCACCATACTGGACTGTCAGTCAGGTGTTTGTGCTTTTTTTAAATGAAGTTTAAAGCAAAGTTTTGAAGTTTTTAAAAAGGGATTCGAAATTCTTCAAATTAAAGAATAGGAAGCTACAGTCATTCAAGCAGCATTTGCCAGCTGGCCTGAGTGTTGAATAAATATAAATGGGTTTATAACTCATTAACCCAGGACTGCTATCCTTCCCAGTTTGTCRAGTTCCCATCATCCTTACTAAATGGATTATGTGATGCTGGAATCCAGCAAACATCTGTTTATCTAGTTTGCTAAGGGCAATATTTTACCAGAATTAGGAAGATCTAAGAATTCCACATTCAATTAAGTTAGCACACAAYATGTAAATGCCTGCTACTCTACTGGATGGATTTCACTAATGTAACTAGGAAGCTTGAAAAACCTATTTCTTGCTGCAAAACCTATGTACAGTTTTAGAACTCAGCAGTACCTCAATATTTTCTTTTCTTTAAAAATAATCGTGTTTACATTTGTGGTCTCCCTTTATATATATATACTGTGGCTTCAGAGTTTAAAGCATAACATCAATACTGGTGTGTGTTTACAATTCACATTAACTATGAAAATAAAGGTTTATGGGGTTTTGGTTTATTCTTTTCCCAACACAAAGATGTGGACAAACATACAAACTAGGCTATAATTGAGTTAACACTAAACAMTTGACTGATTTCAGCTACACTTAAATAGAAAGAATATAATGAATCAAAGTTGGGAAGAGGTTGTATACAGAGAAAATTGTCATTCAATGGAACCTCCCCCCAACCAAACTCTTCATGGTGTCAACTCACAGTTASTCTCTAAAATAAGCTTTGTATGTTTGTCCTAGAAAACTTACACAACTAGAAGAGTTTGTAGAACACAATTCTCTGTTTAAAAGAACTTTCAGGTTTTAGAACTTTATCATAACATCACAGGTGTCTACAATATAGTTTGACTTTCCACCTATGACAAACACACTGACTTTTGGATATAACAGGACATACARACATCCTTATTCCTTTAAAGTATAATCCGAAGGAGCCCTGCAGAGCTAGCCAAAACAGCTGTAGAAGTTGCTGCCACCAAGTACTTGCTGCTCTTCCTTGCTTGGAATTTGAACTCCCCTACAGTTAACACAAAACATAGGAGTAGTCCCACATCCATTTCCATGCAGAAGTCTGCTAGGTAAATTAAATTCATGTCAGTGGATTTTGCACTGGAATAGATTAGGAACTCTTCCCGTTTTGTTACCAGGCCCAAGTTGTGTGGGCAGCAGCAAACTGTTGGGGCAGAAACTCCCAGGGCTGTTTCAGCTATATCTGCCAGACAACTTCAGACTATTCCTTTTGAAATTGAGGAATTGGACACACAGATATGGAAACACGGAAGGCGACTTTCACAGTCTCTCTCAAAGGGGGAGTGTGCTTTAACATGAGATCTGCAACTGCCTGGAATTACATGGAACTGAGAATTAAAGAAATCAACATCTTGACTGAAGAAGCCTGCTTTTTGAAAATAAAAGCAAAATAAAAAAAAAACCTTAGTGAACAAAGAAGCAAGAAGCAAAGCACAAAAGCAGGTCAGAGTATGGAATGATACTTACTATGGTAACAGGTATTCTTTAGCATATCCATCTCCTGTTTGTAACGCAGCCACAAGAAGAAAAAAGCACAAGTAGAGAATCTATGCATTCATCACAGCCATTGTGTTACGTTAGAAGAATGGTAGCGACCATTCTTGTAGAAAACAGAATGAGATGAAGTAGTGAATGGCAGACTAACAGACAAGTGATATATCCAATRTACAAGGTAAAGGAAACAAGACAATAATTGGATTACACCTGCTCAAGATTATAATTTTATCCTTTTTTTGAGGGAATTATCAACTTTAGGAGCCCTGCTCTCATTTTAGTTAAAACTATGACATAAGGTGAGCAAATAATCAAATCTAGATTCAAATTGAGTAGGAAAAATATTTATTGAGGTGTAATCCAAGTACAATAATGTTTAAGAAATGTGCAATCAGTGAAGAAGATTTACCAAAGCATCTAGATACGTGTCTGGTTTACCATCAGACACTATTTCATTTAGTAAGAGCAATTATCTTGAGGAAAATGTACAAAAAGGTAAATCAGTTGAGAAACACCAAGAGATGACACGGCAATTCTGAAGAGATGGAAATTTGTCTTTATATTAATGCACACTTCTTTATTATTGTAAACRAAACTCCTKTTAGACTCACAGTTCGGTGGATTATCTTGTTGATAGTATAACAATGAAATACAAAAGGGATTTTTACTGTTATTAGTTCTAGCTCATGTTCTCCTGTGTGTCAGTCACTAAGGATGCAGTTACTGGTTTCCCCTGGTCCCCACGGCAGAAAAACGTACCTTCCTCTATTTTAATTGGCGTACTGGGAGGAGTGCGAGCTGAAGTGGGGTCAGGGGGGCTTTTCTCTTTCTGTGGCCTGCCATCTTCTGAAGGCTCTGCAGGTATAAGCGAAAGGAGATTAAAAAGGCAAATAAAACCTCTCAGCATGAGAGAAAACAAATGTCCTTTCGCTCCATGCACAGAAGATACAGTTTTCTGAATCAAAATTCTGCCAGGATATTAAATAATCACAAAACAAGCAAAAGAAAATTAAGGGATAGTTTGATAATACCAAAACCATTCAAGTCACTGTTGTGCTCTGTATCTTTTTTTGGAGTTGGTTGTTCTTTTTTTTTCTTTAAGAGAGCATGAATAATAAAATAATTTATGAATTAATTTTTCATGCTGTTATAAAGAAAACTTGGAAAAAACACAAGGAAGATATAAACAAACATGGAAGAGRGGATAGGCTGTCAGGCCTACATAAGGTAATACTCTTTTGCTTGCTTTGTATTACTGAAATTTCGAGTAAACAAAATTACATCCCGAAAGAAGACTGCACAGATAATYGGAAAAACATGCAGTAATTATATGATTCCAAAGAGATTTCACAGTGGTTTCAGTATTTGTTATTAGTAAGGAGGATCCCCCCTTGCTTCCAGCTTTAAATAACCCTAGATCCAAAGGAAAATATTAATAGAATACACCATATATCGGGAACACTAAAGCATTGTTCCACACAGTTCACCTACACAATTAAAATTAAATCAGTCCCACAGATGAGAGTCAACTGACAGAATCTCCAAATGGTGTAGATAAAGAGGTTGTTCCTTGGATTGCAAGCATAGCTGTACCATGTTAGTAATACCTGAGGCCTCAGCCAAAAGGTCAGGATCGGACCTTAACGCTTTGATCACTGCAGTATGAAATTCCTTATGGGAGGACTTCTGCCCATCTGGCTCTTCTCCGTTTAGATGTGGGATGATTTGCTGCATGGTCTGACAAGAAACCCATGCAGCAGCAAACTGAGTGTTATCTAAAGACTTAGACAGTGATGATACGTCACGATCCTTTAAAGTCTTCGTATCTGTTCCTTGGAAGGTGTTTGATCTGCCTTTCAAATCCAGAGATTTTTTAKCTGACGTGTTTTGCTCACTGATGATCTGATTTCTAAGCACTGCACTCTGTTCCCCAGCTGGTGTCTGCCTCAGTAACACAGTCTCTCCGTATTTTGATACCTTATCTAAGAAGGATGTGGCATTGTTACTGAGAGAATAAAGGTATGCAGTTWAACAGGCATGACAGCACAGCACCCCATCCCACACCACCCAGTACTTCATTAACCAAACACAACAGCTCCTATGTTGTTGCCCCAAAAAGCAGATGCAGGGAACACACACTGCAAAAGAAACAGCACTTCTGGTTCCTACATCACTCAAATTCAAAACTCCACAAGAGATGARCATTTTAAGTCTCATCCTTTAAAATTATTCAAAAGTAAAGCAAGAGAGCCACCTCAGATGCGGCAATGGCCTCTGTTTAGAGCACAAATCWGTCAGAAATCTAGGATAATTAAAAAAGTCCACTTTGGTAGAAGCCTGCAAGATGTCATATTTCCAAACAGCAATCAAATTGCTACAAATGGCTATTGTGTATCTTCTCTATTCAATACCAAATCCACATATTCCAGTGACTTAGAAACTGCAGTGTTGCTGCTATAAAGCACTATCATTCCCTCACCTTAGCCTARGCTCTAGGGCCAAGGGAAACAAAGCAGAACACAACCAGTATTGAAACACTTTTCTGACTGAAGTTTCAAACTTTCAGCTTCTTAACAGCAGGAATAACTGGCCCTACTGCCCAGTTTGTCTACAAGGACAATTTTCAAGTAAGATCCATGCATTTTACAGAACACTCACACTTAAAACACTTAGTTCACACATTTTATCTCTAATATATTTTTCAAATTTCTAATTAACACGTGAAAAACTGAAACATACAAAAGCTGGGTAATTTATCCATGGCCTTAGCAGGTAACCCACCTTCCAATTATTAAGGAACATGCTGGTAAAAGAACACACACAGAGAAACCAACCTTCTGGTCCCTTCTGCTTTCTTTCTACTTCTTTGCGATATTCTTCCAGTTCTCGATCAGTCAGTTTATTGAAGGGATTTGGTCCTGTTGTGCTCACTATGACTTTTGGTTGATATTCTTTCTCAATTATTGCCTTTGATGCAGTCACCAATTCTCCCTGGCRAAAGAAAATTAAGATTCATTTGCAATCAAGCAGTAACCTGCAGAACCCTTAGAGACAGAGAGACTACAAAGCAACCAAAAACAAAACAAAAATAYAACCTGGAAAATGCTCCTTTTTCCTCGTTTAGATTTAAAAAAATCTATTATAGATTTTTTTATTTTTTTTTTTTTAATTTTAATCACAGGAGGTTAGTATAAAGGAGAAAACAGATCTCTACCAGGGAATATTCACCATTTAGCAGTAAATCAAACAGCAGCCAAACAGTCCAGCTGAATTATATTTCAAGTCACAAAAGTATATCAAGTTTCTTTTTCTCCCCATGAAAGAAAYATGATACCAAGCCCATCTGCATGCCAGTCTGGGCACAGAATACTTGTAAAGGGTTAAGAACTCAGCTCATGGGTATTTTTGTTTSTGGTTTGTTTTGTTGTTTTGGTTTATTATTATTTTGCTTTGGGTTTTTGTTTTGCTTTGTATTTTTTTAATAACAGAAAAGCCATYTCTACCAGCTACTAGATAACACCTAACAGATGTTATAGTAAAAAGCCATCTTGTATGTGTTCTGTATACACCAGATTAACAGCTTACAACAAGCCATTTTTAAGTAATTAAGGTTAACTGTAATCTGATACAAGTTAGCATATTTAAATCTATAACATWTRCCATATAAGCCAGATAAAAGGTTAYACAAATAAAAAYATAACATTAGCAATTCTAAGTACAGTAAGTTCCAGTGGACAAAAGCAGCTGCATCAGAGATTCCCTAATGTTAAAGTTTTTAGTTTTACTTCTCTAATCCTATAGTAAAGGCTAAAGCCACTGGTTCAGAAAATGCTTGCCTGGAGATAGCTGCTCTATCTCTCAAGTGACTTGCCTAAGCATTTGGCTTTTTCCATTGGATATACAGAACTCTGACACGAGTTTGGAAGTGACTGATGTGTAATGAGTGCACCCCATGTCGTGGTGACACCCAAACTSTCTTCATTATAGAAAAGAGGTATTTGAACTCCATTACCCAATAGGTGTGGGCTACTGATTGACCCAGGTCATCTCCATATTCAAATGTTGTCTGTACCAATATTTAGAAGAAAGCATTAGAAAGTACAGTTCAAAAATACACAGTGCCCGAACAAGAGACAAACATTCTATCCCATGTCCACACTTCACAGACAAGCACAGGATGGCCACTGTAAAACTTATGAGGAAATTAGACAGAATGCTGTTTTGGATGCCAAGAGCTGCTTTGGACAAGTTGTCAGCACCAAAGAGGTGACAGACAAGAATATCTTGATGGAAGGAGGACAAGAACAGTTCTGAAAGCCTCATAAGAGATCTCCAGAAATCTGGTCTAGAGTAATCCAGGCAGGTAAGACCAGATGATTGTTAGAATCTACACTGTTCTTCAGGAAGCAAACACCAGCCAGATGTACCAAAGAGCAAACAGTGTAACAATAAATCTCCACTAAAGATTCTAAAAGGAACTGCAAGAGATATACATTTCTAAAACATTAGCAATTGTTTCCATTTTTCTATAAAATAAGAGGAAATTCCATTTTATACGTAGAATGTCAGTAGAATGTCAAAAGCCTTTTCTCAACTGTATCCATCAAGCACTGATTTGATTGTCACAGCTTTTCTCAGAAGATAAAGCATGAAAGGGTCACAGAAACAAATCCTAACRGTTTTGTAGAAAATTCAAAACACACCTAAAACTACAGATTCCAGCTTTTAATGATGGCAGAAAACTGATCACCATGGCAATTTTATATTTCCCTTTCTATCTTTGCCCACACTTCAAACTAAGTCCATAGTTTTAATTGAAACAGCATAAGTAGTGGGACCTTGTAAAGTACTTATCTCAGGCAGTGTTTCTAAAGTTTTCTGGGATTAAAAAAGTCAAGAGAGGAACAAGACACACAGTTAATATCCCTGGAGTTTCTAAGAATCTTTGAATGTTGCAAGTTAAATCCAGAATCACTGGGTAGAACAACTTCTAATGAAACAGAATATTACTGAGTGCCTGTTGATTTAATGATGACAAACAGCAAGACAGGCAGTTTGCAGATGACTGGAGCTCTGGTATGCCATGTTCTCCTCCTTAGGAGAGTACCTTTGTTAAATACTGGGAATGAAAGCAGCAAATCAAGCTTATCACATTTACTAGATTAAAAACAAAAAAAACAAAAAAAAGAAACCAAAATGGAACACCCACAAGAAACACCCACAATCAATGCAAACAGTATTTGTACTTGCTGAGTAGCTTTGACCCAAGAGAAGCAGCATTGAAAAGATCAGAGGCAAGAACATTGGATCATAAAAGCAGAAAAACTATACAAGAGACTAGAAAGGAAAACTTTTGATCTGCTGAAATCTGATTCCAGATTAACACGTCCAGTTTCATTCAGTAGCAATAACATGGACACAGTTCAAAGGCCACTAATGAAAATGATTCRGGCAGAGGAACTGAGTCTATGTGGGAAATAAATTACTAGTAGCATGTTAGTAAGTTCTGCAATGTGATTGCTCTAAACCATGTACAAATCAAGAAGAGATGTTTTACTTCGTAGAATAGGCAACAGAGCAGCCTTCTAAGAATTCAAATAAAAATATGTAACACAAAATGAAACATTTTGAAAGAAAAATGGGACAGAAAGAAAACAAGTACAAAAGACTAAGAAGTACAGAACATATTTCCAATTGTTAAAAGTGACACTAAAATAGACAAGACTTTGCAGAGCTATCAACCTGACCATGCCATTCAGAGATTCCTATCAACATTCAGAAAAACTGAACAAGAAAACCGGTCTGGAGTTACATCCAGTGTTAAAGAGCCTGTAGAGAGGGAATAAATTCCCATAGACTCCCATTCTGTTTCAACACATGAAGGAAATTAATGTTCTAGTGATCTCATCTGGATTATGTTGATACTAGTACTACTTTGATGATGATTCCAAAAGTATTTTGATGACTACTTGAAATTTGATTGCATATGCATACACCCAAATATCAACAGCATTTTCTCCACTGTAAGAAACACTGCATAGATTATATTAATGAAGAGAATGCATTTTCACTCTTAAAAATTTTGCACGGGTATGTGCTCCTATGGAGACACAAGGGGAAAGTAATTTATATCTAATGATAGACAATATAACTTCATACCAAACATGGTCCTGATACTACTTACATGAAGATTTTAGACAATCAAGTCATTTTGCAACTTCTATACCTAATCTAGCTTTTAAAGAAAAATTCAAAGCTAACCATTATTTAACAGGCAAGCTCTTCACCTAGTCCTCAGGAATAAATATGGACAAAAGCAGCACTTTATTTATGACAATTCTTCTCTCAATCGGACACTAGGTTCATAATAATTGTCCAAGTTAACAATTGCTCTGAACCCAATCTGACAYTAATGCAGTGCCTTTATCCAAAACACCAAGATTCCTGAAGTACTGTTCATGTAGAAGTGGCCACTCAAACCCAGTGCCACCTCTGGGGCAGCACTGAGAGGGTCTGCATTAAAAACAAAGCCACAGTATTCCCATGATAAAGGAAGAGACTCAAAATGGGTGAATTCCCTTCTATTAAGAATTACTGAAAATTCATGTGAATTTATTTTACTTTTTATGAGACTGCAGAATGGTCGTTGGTAAGAACAATCAATATTCCCTGTCATTTAGCCAAGACTGCAGCAGAAGYTTGGTTAACCAAGTCTGAACAGGAATAAAGTTACGCAATGCACAAGGAGGTTGTGTTGCAACATGGCCAGGACCTCTCAGAATATGGATAAAGCAAGCAACAAGGCAAAATGGAGTGTTTACTGCTGCAGCCATAGGCTCAGGAGCACAAAGCAGTACATGCATACTGTACACAGGGAGGKTTTTTTTTCATCCAAAATAGTGTGCATTAGTATTTGATATAAATTCCAATGTACAGAAAACATAATACATTGTAAGAGTTACTGCAATTAGATCAATTTTACTTGAACTGTAATTGAGGGTCAAAGAATTTGTCAACTGAGAACTTGTAATTATCTGGTACCTAAATGTTTTTAAGTCCTTGATGYACAGGATTTTTCAGTTTCATTGAAWTTTTCAGGCGAGGYTTATGTGGGCATTGCAAGATTGYGSACACYTCCTTTGTTYCACAAAACATGACTGTTTTATGGCAGAATCTTTCTTGGAAATTTCTCTAGTTTTTTTGTCGTCATTTTTTAGTTCATTGGATTTTCTGGTTTGGGTTGCATTTTTTTCAAAGGAGGTTATTTGGTTTGAGGTTAGGGGTTTTTTTTGTTTGATTTGTTTTTTCTTGGTTTTTTGTTTTTTTTTCCCCAAACAGAAAATTATTAAGCATTCAGGTCACAACACATATAAAAATAGTAAAGATTATGAAATAGACCACTCCTATTTCATAATTACTCATGTAATTTACATTGTGATCTAATTTTACACACTATTTCAGGCAGAAAGCACTTTCACAACTCCACAAAAAATGAAACAAATAATTTGGACATCTAAACCCTAACCCTAATGATACTACTAGACATAATCATATAACCAATAGACCATTTGTTGCTTCTCTGACATCTATAAAAATGCATGTAAACTACCTGACTACTTTTATAGAAAAGTGATGCCATTGTTTGAAAACAATACTTGAAATATATCACTGATGAAAAACACACCTGTGTTGTGATAATTATCATAAAAATAATTTTTCATTTTGAAGGCATAATTAAGCAGAGAATAAAATCCATGCRGTGCCTGGAAGAATTTGGCTTTATTTTGTTCTTCATCTGAAATCCAGAAATGGTGTTTTCTTATTTTTTCTTTCACAATACGGACAAAACAAACCAAAATATGAAAAGTATCACTATCTTATTCTCAGTATGATCCAAGTATCTATAACACGAACTGGYTCATTACATTAGAAAGTGTTATAAAACCACAAGATCTCTAACAAYGATGTAAGTCAAAGTATTCTGTTTTTTTTCTTGAGAAAGCTGTTCTGATAATGAGGTGTTTAGGTGCGACCTAAATCCAAGATTTAAGAACCTTTTAGCTAAAATACTGGAGCAGAGGAGGCACAGATGTTTATTTATACACTGTGCTTCCAGACTAGAAGTGCTCTAAGAAATATTATTTGCAGTGTGCAACTGGTCCATTCAGTCAGCCCCAAGGACTGCTCACCCCAACATACYCACGCCTCTTGAACTGATTCTGTATTTAATGTATATTATGTAAGTACAAATATGATTATAAGTGYGAAAGCCAATCAATTTTGCAAGTGTGGGGCATTACTTGGCAACTCTTGTAGATAACTGCAGGAAGTTTTAAGGCAGCCAGGCATCTAGCACTCTGAGATCAAGAGTTGACAGTGTTTGTCACRTAACATACACTGAGTATGTGGTATCCTCAGACTTACACTGTAATMAGGCCAAGATTAAGCTAACTCTAAACTGATCTCAAATTAGAATAGTTCAACACTAAAAGCATGCATAAAGAAACTCTCTAGATGCAGAACCTGAWCAGCAACTTAACATCAAGTGTTTCCTCACCATCTTCTACAGACAAAGACCAAGATCCTTAAGACACTCTTAATGGGGTAAARTAACTGTTTGCATCATGACATTTATACAATTTGAAGATCCGTCTATTTTCATTTTTTAAAGTTTTCTAGCCAAATCATTAGCTTACAGAGGAAAAAGGTTAGAGTAAGGAAAGGTTAAATGAAGGGTGAACAACAGTATTTAGAGCAGTATGACAGGGCAGTACCTTTCTAACAGACAGAGATTTAGCGGGACTAAAGGCCTGCTCTGTGAGATCGAGCCCTTCAATAGATTCCGTACAGTCTGAGAGGGGAGCATCCTGCAACAGTAAATTGAGTAAACAGAGCAAACCGAGCCCGGGCTTTAAAACATCAACCRAAAGCATTGTGATGCTTGCTAAAAACATGCAAAGAAACAGTAACTGGTAGATGAAATCGCATATGACAATGAATTGACATGCACACAAGATGACACCCAACATGAATAATGCTGTGGTCAAGATAAGACTTGCCAAACTTTAAAAAGTATATCAGAAAATAATTATCTGGGGCAGTTGAAAGCACTTGGATATAAAAAGCTTTATTGAGCTATACAGTATAACTGTACAGCTCTAATTTGTACTTTACTTTAAGCTATGATGTATAGTCTTTTATATATCCAGATACACTGCTTTTAAGTTTTACTGATGTAATGGCTTTTTTTCCCAAACTGCTCTTCAAATAAAATATTATGAAGCATGAAAACCCGTATTTAACACAAAACACTACTGCCCCACAGTGAGCCTGCTGTGCCCAGTATCACTACTTCAAGGTACATAACTGAGAAATCAAACAAACAAAAAATTGTCACAAAGCTCAACTAGTTACGGAAAGGAATCTAACCCATATAAATAAGGCTTCGGAATTTCATGCATTACATTCAGCAAAAAAAACCAAGAAGCATCCTCTACAGACATGCTTGGGCTACATGGCTGAAGCCTCTAAATTTCTGACCCTGAGCACTCTTGCAAAGACAATGGTGTTACCTCTAAGACTTACCTTATAAACAGTTACCCTCTGCCAATTAAAGAATAATTTCATAGTGATATATTAGGTGAAAGCAGAGGATATTGTAGATTAAGCTAATAGTTTTAGGAATTTAATACTCTCACCTGTACAAGGCTCCTGTCCACAACTACCCCAGCRAGAACCTGTGACTGAGGGCCTGCCGTTTTAATATCTTGCAAATTTTGTTCTCGGATCTGTAAAGGAAAGCAGCAGAATGAACATGAACAATAGAGAAAAATTGATCATATTTTTGTATTTGAAAAAGGGTTGAATGAACCTGCCAACAGACAACAACCAGTGCTGATTGCTGTGACTGCAGAGTCATCTAATGAAGCTGAGCTCATAAATACCACTTGAAGATAAATGTTCAGGCTCCTGGCTGTTCCCTCACATTTCTCAGAAATTAGTCTTTAAGTACCATAGAAGTTGTTGTTCTTTGCTTTTTAGTACTAGACCATGATAAAATAGGCAACAGACAATTTCAGCTTGTGAAAAGTGAGGAGAAATACAAATATGACCTCTGTGCTTTTCTAAGCCTACTGTACCTGCCCATTCCTTAGTAGGTTTCTATCAGTTGCCACTAGTTACTGATATTGTACCACAATACCATTTTCTTACAGACCTTACTGKAAAACACAGCACAGCTTTCCAATTTTGCATCTAGTCAAGACCATATCCTCAAAATTCATACAAATCTCTCTCCATAAACACTCTGGAGTTCTCAAAAACACCCCTTTTGTTGCATCCTAAATACCTCCCAATTCTTTCTATACAGAYGATGGAAACAAAAACTGGATCTTTAAACTTAGTATTATCTACTTAAATTAGATAAATGCAGAAAAGCATGCATCTCAAAAGACCTCTACTTTACAACTAAAAAGGGCATTCAATTTATAAAAAATGTATGCAAATAAATACACAAAGAAGYAGTATTATAAATACTTAGTATTTCAGAAAGTGAAAAGATCCCATATMATTTTCACTTCTCTCTAATTTACTACCCTTCTCATCATTGAGAAAGTATAGAATTTGAAGACTTACTCCTCTTAGTCACTTCATTCAAGTTTTTAATAAAACAACATTTGTGTTTGAAACATAAAGAAACTGCTTCGAAATTCCACCGTAATTCTCATTTCAGGTTATTATTATTTTACAGTGCCAAGTCAGGAAAACTTAAGTTCCATCAGTCATAYAGAAATTATTTTAGATCCCTGCTAGTACCCCTGCACACAGCCTTTCTTAACAGAATGCTAACTCCCATGTTCCATATGGCCAACAGTTAGAGGTATCAACACAACCCAGAATGAGTTAAGTATTAAAAAGATACAAGGGMATATTTTACACTGCAAAAGAAATAAAATGAAAAATCCCAATGCATTCAGTGCTTTGCTGTTGGTAAATTGGTGACAAGAAGATCTGAAATTCAAAAACAGGAAAATTAACTGCAAGTTCATTTCAAAAATATTAACTTGCAATTTCAAAGGAAAAAAAAGTCTGCAACAATCACAGCATATTATGATACAGTAAACTGAAATATGGAAAGAAATCCACAGACTACTTTGTCTAGGCCACAGAACTTTAGCTAGTATTACCAAAACAAGAAAAACAGGTCACTAATGTCAAACTTATCTCAGGGTAYAGAATTATTACCATAAATTCAGGAGTGGCTGTTTCAGAGGTACCCAATAACTGGCCTAAGAAAAATTAAAGTCTTCATGTAATGAACAGAAATACCAACTTTTTCCAAGAGGAGTTTAGGACACTTAGGAATTGTTTCATTATTTAGTTATAAAGGGACAGGACAATACCAGAACTATGCTACTGAGTCCCCAAAATGTCATTATAGCAAAGTAACAAGTACAAAACTTAATTATACTGCCAACCAAAAGAAAGTTATTTTACTGCATTTACAAACCTTGTTCCTCATTTCYTGGACCTCCTTTGGATTGGTGTTCAATGGAACAAACAGATTAGGGACAGCAGAGGTGGCAGTTCTATGTCCATCCTCTTTAGTCCACTGTAACATCAAGAACAGTTGCAGAGTCAGAACTGCTGTAATGGCTACAGACACTCAGAGCAGCAAAGTCACATCACAGTTGATCATGCATTATACAGAGCAGAGAACTGAACCAATGATTGCATTCTTCTATTCAATCCTAAGACTAAGTTGCTTTCTTCTTCAGTAATATAAACTGTACCTT